AGCCAAGCTAGTAAAGACTTAGCATTTCTATTTGCAGAAAGTTTTAAAACCATGTTTCATGGCAAGCTGCAGAAATTGCTAAGAGAAGTATAACTGTTTATGCTACAAAAAAAAACCCAAAACCAAAAAAGAGTTGTTTTGCTACTTCTTTGGTTTTATCACATAACTTTTATTTTAATTCTTAAATTTCCTGGCACACCCACTGAAACAGTTTTGCTGCTGCTAATACCCCTAATATCCAGCTAGTGAAATAGTGGCATGTTATGCTACTATTAAGGGTTTCTTCTACTTAGCAGTGATTGAAGTGCCTTATCTTCTTGGGTATCAAATTGTTGAATTACAACAGTAACAGGAGATATTCAGATTTAATGTACCTTTTCCAGCTCTCTCAACAGTAACAGCTGTTCTCAATCTGTTTTAAAAGTACTATGAAAACAAGATTTCAACAGTTTGTATTTGTCAAATGCAAACACATCAGCCTTGGGAATTAACATAACAACACAAAAATAATCTAAAAATAAGAATCCATGGAAAATTAGCCTAGGAGAAGCAGAGAAGTTTAGAGTTACATTTTTCCACGCTCACAAACAAAGCTCTGTGGTTTCCCTGCAGGACTTTGTTGAAACTAAACAATTTTATTAGAAAATGTTTATTTAGAAAGACATTTTCAGGAGAACAATTGCAGCCAGAAAAAAAGAGTTGACCACACTCAAGTCAGCAATGGAAGTTCCCACTGATTTTGATACCAAAAGAATTTTACCCAGTGGCTTTAGAAATACCTTCATGTAGTTTGAGAAAACCAGAGATAGAGTTAAGGTGGAACAACTTGATAATGTGTGAAAGCATGCTCAGTCTTACACCTCCTGCAGCAGGTATTTGCCTTAAAAAAATCCCCCAAACCTTACAAAATCATGAGGGATTGCTTTCAACAAGTAAAAATAAACAAATGAAAAAAAGTTAATGCATAGTAAGAGGAGATATGAGCTTACATAGCATTAACTATTCAGGTAAACAATGAATTTGTTTTAATGCCTAAAAAACGAGAAGTGCAATTGTTACTAAACTCTACTGTTGTACAATACTCACTTTGCTTAACCATTTGCATTTCTTCAGACCGTTGATTTGTTTCTTTCAGAAAAATACTACTATTTACCTTTTTTTTTTTAATAAAAGAGTAGTGTGTCTGAATTCTGTGTGGTTCACTGGGAGTTCGTTGGGATATATTCGCAACTCCTGAAGCAATAAAACTGGTATTTTATCTTTAGAGGGAGTTACATTTTTTTAACTTATTGAATTTTTCAAAGATCAGCATGAAGAGTTCTGATTAAATGCTGCTTCAGCATTTTAAAGGCTTCTTGTGTCCCTGTTGCCTAAGGAGGTCATACATGAGGATTGCTCTGTAAACATCAGATTGTACAGAATTGGCTCTGTGTGCCATGCCAGGCACACAAAGAAGTCAAATGGCTTATCTCTCACTTATCAACTAGTTTATTTTTCATGCCCAAAAAAAGGCTGCTACAAGAGCAGTTACTGCTTTGTAAATAATTTAAAGCTTCTGTTAAGTAGAGCTGTCAATTTTTGCAAACAATATTAAAAGAAGATTTTCATTTTGCCATGGATTTGCACATTTTAAAATGCATTTTTATCCCTGAAAGTCTGCTGGAGGCTACTGGATAATGGAAGCAACTTCTGATTTGCAGACATAGATTCAAAAGAGAATAGATATGGTCAAATAATGGCAGATGTATGAGCAGAGAAGGTGTGATACCTCATCACCTACATAGAGTGCTCAGAGAGCATCCTACTCATTAAAGAGAGCTTTTAGGGGACTCATAAAGAAACATATTTGGCTCTTTCAAACAGACATTAGATGTAGCAATAACAATTATCAGCAAATTTTGGAAATGCAGAATGTGCATCGTGTGGTTGTGTGTACACAATATTATCCCAATATTGATCACAACAAATGGGATTTTGTAAAGATTTTTTGGCACAATATAATGCATATTATTGTGTCTGATAAATTACTTTAATGATGAAACAGCAACATTAGCCACAATACCAATTCTCAAGTTTTTAAAATTCAAATTCAGATTCAAATCCCCAGGTCCTAACATGTTACGAAAATGCCAGGTTAGAATTTAAAACAGCAAGACTTTATTCTGCAGTAAGCTAAAGGAAGATCCCAGATTGCCTGAATACAAAATTTTAGGTGAAACTTGTGATCACTGCAGTGCTAGCACAAAGTCAAGTCTCTATTAAGCACCAAACCCTAGCCAGAGCCCTCTAGATGTGAGGACCACCACCCTCTGCAAGCTTTATGGCATTGTTGCCAAAATCCTTCCCTTTTTAATTAAATGTGGGATATGTTGCCTCTAGTTTGGGAAGGGCTGTGTTGTTTAAACAGTGTTCCCTATGCATTTATTTTTCCTGCTTCTCACAGGGAACAGAGTCCATGTCCCACAACAAAAATATTTATTTCTTTACTCTAGAGCTCATATCTGATGGTTTTGTGGCTTTGAACCACTCCTGGCATCTGATCCTATCTAATGTTCAACGCTGCAGCTGTATACCCAGACCAGAATAGGTTCAATGCTCATAACTTGAGGTTAGTTTCAGATATTTATTTTAGATATGAAAGTGCAAAGAAATCTGTTTGCACTCCCATGGGTAAGAATCTCCCTCATCCCCCAATTTTCACTACAAGAGTACTTGCATACAACAGACTGCTCTGTTTTCTGTGACATTCCTCTGGGTCCTGTAGCATTATTTAACAAACTGTAGCTGTTCTACATCCACAGTGCAAAATATCGGAGTCATTGGCCATGCTGTAATGAATTGGTCATAGTATTCATATATTAGAAATATGCCACACGAGGACTGTATACATCCAATCTGTAGCCCACTCCATATTAAAAAAACACTTGGAGTGCATGCATGAGTTACACTGTAGTGATTGGTGTGAGAGGGCTGTGGTTTACTTCGCTCTGGTTCTCAGCAGGTACAAGAAAATGCAAATTATTAGTACTGATGAAAAGAGATCAAGACAAAGCTGATCCAATTCTATTTTGTTTCCTTTCTCAATACACACTCATCTTTCAGCACCTCTCAGGGTTTCATGATCTGATATGCCCCTACTCCTTGCAGCTAGGTCAGCCTCAGGAGCGATGGCTCCAGAGAAGTCAAGGACATCATATGCTGCTGCAAGTTTGTAACTTTAAGGGGATAAGTCATGTAGGTCTTAGATGCTACTGAGCAGGTGGAAAAAGAAAAAATGAGATAAGTTGAATTACACCAGCTTGACTCACGCTGCACATCTGAGCGTTGACATTTAGAAAACAAAAAGGTGTAACATTTTTCTCCTTAAAAAGCTAAGGCTGAGTGAAGAGGGAGGCTCTTCAGGACCAAAGACTCAGTTCCAAGTGGAAACATGGCAGTTCTGTGTTCAGAGCTGTGTTCCCAAGCAGAGGCTGTCAAAGTTTGTCCCACAAGAGCTGCAGTGAATTTTGCATAATTTTTTTGCAAATTTATTTTTTTCCCATTAACAGGAGCTTTCTTTAAGCCCTTTCCCAGAGTTATTCATGCATATCAAATGCAGTTTCTCCTTAACCTTTTGAAGTCCTCCATAATGTTCCACTCCTCTTGGCTTCCCACTCCACAACAGGCTCCAAGAAGAGATCTCCAGAGAAACCTTCTTTACTTGCTCTAGAGTGGAGTTTCTTGGATGTAAAGCATTGCTTGTATGCCTGTTTTCTCTCCTCCTTTTTTTCCGCTTTGGACTTTTCATTCAACGCGGAGGAGAAATTGCACCAGTGCCAGTTTAGCATCTTTACCTATTCTAACGTGCATTCTTGGAGGTGTGTTGTCCCCAAGCGAGTTGGCTGTTTTCAGCAATTCCCCACGTTGCTCCACGTGTGGGAAGCAGCAGCAGAAGCAGAGAGTATCAGTTACCTGATAAAGCCACACTTCACCCTGTCTCACACCACAGATGCTAACAACATTTAGGTAGCATGAAGAGTAGAAATAGTCCACAGTAATCTTACAGCACTGGATTTTTAGGACTCAGAGATTCAGAAATTCTTACAAGTAGATTTGCCCTCCTAAGCCTGTGAGCATTCTGGTTCTCCAGACAAAATGTAAACTGGCAGTATGGCAACACTCGCAAGAGCCTTATATTCTTCCCACTGCCCATGGTGTTGCCATGGGTATCATGCAGATTAGCTTATGCAGGATCCAAGAAGGCAGAGAACAAGGGGAGAAAAACAGGATTAGAGTGGAAAAAATGCACAAGGGTGAGAAAAATCTTTTAAAGTCTATCGGTAACAGGATTTTTGTTTCCTTAATCCAAACTCTGCTAGCCTGCAGTTTGATTACATTTTTTATTTATTTAAGTCTCACATCTAGAATACGCAATTCCTCCTCTTTATTTTTAAGTGATTCACATATTTTCAAACCATTTCCTTCCCCAAAAGGCTCAGACTGGAACTTGCGAATTGGAGGCCTCTGCTTCACCTACTGAAGACTTCAGGTCTTGATTGTGAACCAAAATATTTTAAAATACAGCTAAGGGAAGTCTTTGTTTTTAAAGGAAGGGGCTGCACATACCCTTCTTGGGGACCAGTCCAATTGATAAGACTTTGATCCATATGGCTACAAATGCTCATGTGTAGCAGCCTTTGACAGCCAGCTAGACCTTCTGTAGTTGACAATTTAGAGAAGTCATTTCCTCCTTGCTAACTAAAGCCAACACACACACACTTACTCCCTGCCTTTCAAAAACTCTTGGACATGCTATTGCTGTTTGTTAGCTACTCGGCCTCCTTTTCAAGGGGAAAAGTCAAGGGTGAAAGCTGTGTAAGCATACGGTTTTCCGTTCAGTTTGATCCATTACAAGAGAGAACACCCTTGTCCTTATTGGCATTTAAGGCAAACAGTTGGCAACTTGGTTGGTACTTTTAAGTTAAGTAATCATGACCCCGTATCTTGATTCATCTTAACAGAACTTCTGGGGCAGTCAGATGAAGAAGACCCATCTTGCAAAGCTTTCATTGACAGATCTTCAGAGCAGGGAGGAGGACACAACCTGCCTGATCCAGGCCCTGCCATGAGAACACCAGTGCAGAGCTGCTCCCACAGGTGAGTGGCACAGGGAAGGGCACATGGTCAACATCAAAGATAAGACCAAGGAAAATCCTGCACAACAGAAAATGGAAGGGAGGGGGAACAATTAACTAAAATAGTTTTGAAATGTATGGTTTATATTCTAAACTACCCTGACAACTGCAGTTGTCCTTTGCAATATGACTGTAAACACAATAAAACATTAAGACTCTAAGCAGGAACTAAGAAAAACTTGGAATCCAGAAGGACATAGCATGGACACAAAGAAATCTCCAGAAACAAAGACAATTTTGCAAGCATTTGAAATGCACTGGCACAACCATTTTCAAATTAAATCATATGGGCAAATTTGGCCTTCCTTGACGAATGTGTAGAAAAGAGAAATACAGCAGTGGAAATGCAGCAAATTAACAGTTACAGGTGGTCAACAGAACTTTTGAAAACTTGACATGATCTTTACAGATTTCTGTAAGCACATTACTAGCCTGTGATCAAAATCCCTGGGATGATCTTTTGAGAGTGCCCTTCTTCCAGAGCTGATTAAAACCTGGAACTTATCTATTAGGAGAGAAACAATAGTTCTGATGACTGGGGTTTTTATTCCAATGCTTTTGTTGCTAGCGAACAGCACACCACCTTGTAAGGGATGGGAAATTAGGATAAAACAGCTTTTCTGCAATGATTCAAAAAACATTTATTTCTCTTATTTTTCTTCATGCATTCTTGATAGAAAAGAATAAACAATTATTTGTTCCCAGTGAGTATATAGATGTATAGTATGTAGACTTCTTTTTATTTTCTATGTCTACCTTATGCAGGAATGTTTTTAGTCAATCTAGTGTGAGTACAACATTGAACTTTCATGTCAAATTCATCCTAACCATTTCTATATAATTGTGCTTATATAACTGTGTATAACACATTTCTTTCTTTTTCTGAAAATCTGTACATGGGGACATTGAGCTTTTGCAAATGTTATATCCATTTTACCAGCTGCACACCACTAGTGAGTTATTTATTTTATACATAGCCTACAACTTTCAGGATGCAGGACACTGTCTACAGCTTTCAAAGCTGGATTTGGAGATGGGGCCTGCCTTCAAAAATATAGTGCACAATTATTACATCTTAACTTTTGGGATGAAGATAGCACCATATTGATATGGGCCAGTAATAAAGTTCTTGCTGGAGATGGTATTAGACTACAGAGGACTTTCCAAGTGCTCCAATAAAAGGAGCTCCTTTAACAGTGCACTAGAGCAGAGACTAATCCCAACATGCCTCTGATCCCAAGGTATGAACACGCTATCCTCCCTTCAGCTCACCTTTTCCCTTTTGGGAATTTTGCTATGACTCATACCTCTTTGGCAGTCCTGCATCTGCCTTTGTCAAGCATCTTGGGAGAGATTGCAGAGTTCAACTTCACTCCTACTCCTTGGCTCCCCAGCTTGACCACATTTGCCTGCACCAGCCCAGGTGGGTCACCATAAGTTGCTGAGCCTCATGAGTGGTTCCTTGGAATCGACAGAGCTGCATAAATTGCTGGGATTTCCCAAGGCTTTTGATTGCCTCTTGCCAGGCTAGAGAGGCTAAAACAAGCTCCCACCCATGTGACCAGCTCCTCTTCCTGCAGACACCTGGTGATGCAGCTGATCTCTCCCAAGAGAGGATGGAATTTTTGGTTGCCTCTTGCAGAGCTGTGTAAGAAAACTCCTCACGGCTCCCCTGGCTGGCCACAGCTGCTTGAAGCCTGCCCACACCAAGTTAGGTTTTAAAGGCATTCCCTGTGACAACACCGACCAGCTGTGAAGGTCACCTGCTGAGGCACAGGTGACTCCAACAACTTCTTCCCTGGGCTTACAAAAAAGCCACAGACGATTACAAGCACCTAACTATGACTTGGTTTGCCTCCAGTTCCACAGAGTTTATATTCTACAATGTGTCTACTGCCAAGTCTGCATCAGACTTCTTCTTGTGAAGAAATCTGCATAAAGAAGCTTTGAGTGTTAGCAGCCTACATAAACAGGGCCATTCTCAGTTTTGCAGTCATTGTAGTGTTTCATCTCTCTGTCCAAGATACTCCAGAATTACCAGAGATTTGGCCTGATCTGAGACATCAGCAGAGAACATAGTTTACGACTGGTAGATGGTTACACAGCACTTGAGATTATTTTTTTAAATCAGTCCAACCTGTGAACCCAAAATTAAACCTATTTTCTTTCTGCTGCCTCAGTGAATTCACTCAAGAAATGGTGCTGCTGCTGTACTTTAGTTTATAAAATCACAGCTGTAGAGTGTTTGCAGCTGAGCATCTTAGTAGTGCACAGCAGCATTATTATTCTAACCAACTTTGCAATCACAAATTCATATCTGCCATTTCCATTGTCCACTTCCTCCCAGCCTCTGACCACTACCTGCCATTTCAAAATAAATAACCAGGACACACTCTCTCTCCTGTATAGGCTTGTTGCCATTCGTTAGCTTGATCATTTTTTGTTTCATTATTTACTTTCCCCATTTCTCATGCTGTTGAATGCTAGTCCTCCATGTTTATGTATTCTGCTCACCAGTGAGATAAATGTATATTCTCACTCCTTTACTATTTATTTCTGGAGTCTTTCCCCTCAAGGAAACAAAAGAAAAATCCATTTTTGTAACAGGCCTCTTCTGGGTAGCGGTGGTTCCCCAAATTGCTGTAAGACACCACAGCAGTTGTTCAGCAACAGTACTCAATGTCTGCTCCTTCTTCTTTCACAGTCTCTTGTTATCTGCCTTGGCTTTACATTATTGTACCAGCTAGTCACACCATGAAATTACTACATTACTCCATTTCTAGCACTACCACCCCTGTCAGACCCAGATACTGTCCCAAATCTTCATTTAACTCAAGTTTCTGAAAGCTCATCTCCAGCACATACTCAGCCTTCTTCCTTTCATGTGTTTCAGTTTGACAAAACCTTTGTTTTGGGACAGCTGAGACATATCTCATGAGTTGCACCTAGTCAGAAGTGCTGGGCAAGGGCCCTGTGAAGACTAGCAGAAGACATTTATGTTCTGGTTGCTTAATACACCTGGTGCCCTTCAGGGAGCCTAACATCTGCAGATGTGTAACAGAAGCCCATTTTTCAGGCTGCATGATTAAATTATCACTTCAATTAACTCTTCACATCATCATCTCCTTTGCCAGGAAAGCCATGGTCTGGGATGAAGACAGGGACAGAAAAGGGACTGAAAAGGCTGGAAACAAAATAATCATTCATAAAACAGTCTCAGGAGGTTTTTGGGGGGTTTTGAGAACTTATTCTTGTTTCAACTCCATGTAGTTTTATGAAAGTAGCAGTAGTATTGTTGCCAGTGGAGAGCTGTAGTCAACTTTCTGAGCCATATACACAAACACCGAGAGTTATGTGCAATAAAGATTTCAGGACAGTACTCCAGAGAGTGGCATTTAATTAGGTGTGTGATTTCTTTCACTCTAATATGAACAGGACTGTTAAATGTTACCAAGAATGCACAGTCCAGTGAGTAATTTTACAAGACAAAATATCTCATCTCTGGCTTATATTTGCCATTGGCCATTGCCATTCTCTCCTTCCATGTGTCAGCTATGTTATAGCCTAGCAGTCCTTGTCCTCCTGTTCTTGTTATCTGTTTATGGAAACATTTTGATCATTATAACCCTGCAGCAAAGGCCTGTAATTGAGAAAAGTATTTTCGATGCTGTTATTCAGAGGACCAAGGTAGCATGCTGAACCTCTCAGCTACACAAAGGAACTGATCAGCTGCCTGTGGGACAGCTGATTTCTGGATAAGTCAACTAGTGAGTGCCTGTGACCATGCCAGAGTTTGGCAGGTAAGAGTCAGCACAGAGTTATAGCTACACTAACCCCATTGCCACGGGCCTTGATAACTTCAGTGTGAGTTTCCTCCCCATCAGGGTATCATTCTGTTTCCTTACCATAATGCATTGTGGATTTAGATATGTTGCATTTATTGGCAGTGTCAGGATGTGTGTGAAGGTGGATTGGAAGGTTTTTTTAGCTTATTATCCATCTACCTTGTCCCCATCCCCCAAAACCAAACTACTCCCCTTTTAATTAGGCTATCTATTATTTTAATACAAGTGGTTAGCACAGAAGACAAAAGTGTGTATCATCAAATAAAATTTTCTTTTTGCTTATGTACTTAAAAGTACACATATTTCTACTTCTCTACAAGGTTTTCATTTAAGCTCAGAAGCATGCTTGTGTATTTTGAATCTGTAGCACCACTGATGAAACCTCAAGAGCATCTTTCACATCTGCACATGTTGCTTATTAAATCAGCATAAAGTGAGAGAGAATTAGAGTTACCCCACAGCATCCCCTTTTGTGTATCACATAAAAAACAACAGTAAACTGATTTCTTACTCTTACTCCAGGTGACTTGGAATTAAATTTGTGTGCTTTTTTTTGTGCAATTTAAATAAGCATTCATCACCAATATGGCACTTCTGCTTGTTCTTCCACCATCTATTATCTTTTCCAAAAGTCCTCTTTAATCAGCAGGCAGACCTAGTCTTAAAATAGCAGGAATAGAGGCTGAGAAATACCGTCTGCCAGGTCCAGGTGTAATCCTACAAGCTGCTCTGTCTGCCCTAGCACTTTTCAGTTCCCAAGTAACTCTATTAAGGGGCATGATGCAGGGATGTGGTGATGTAGTATAGGAAATTCATGGCAGAAGTGGGATCCAGCTCTTCCTGCCCGGCTGCTGCAGCCTCTCTTCTCATTCTTTGCCACTGCTCAGTCCAAGAGCTTCATGTGCATCGAGAACGCAACAGCAGGCAGATATATATATGGCTTTGTGCAAAGTTGCACTCTCAATTTCCACATCTGTAAAACTGAGATAATGTTACCAAATTCAGAAGGGCAAATTAATTAGTCGGTGTGCATACAGCACCTTGAAAATACAAAATTAACTCTTCTTAGCCCATAAGTACTCAAGATGCATCGAGGTGTGCTCTATGGCCTCTTGAT